GGGGGGAGTGGGTGTTATACTCGAGAGTTATTCAGTGCGGAAACAAACCCTTTGGTCCAATTCGTCCGTGCCAACCAGGTTTCCCGGTGAGGGTACAGAAAAAAATCTTACCGGGATGTTGCCGGGAATGGAGGATTTGAGTTATAAAGGAGAGGCTGGGGCTGTTTTCCCCGGAGCGTTGGAGGCTGAGGGGGTGACCTTATAGAGGTTTATAAAATCATGAGGAGCATGGATAGGGTGAATAGACAAGGTATTTTCCCCCAGGGGGTGGGGGAGTCCAAGACTAGAAGGGCACAGGTTTAAGGTGAGAGGGGGGAAAGGGACCAGAGGGGTAACTTTTTCACGCAGAGGGTGGTGCGTGTGTGGAACGAGCTGCCAGAGCAAGTGGGTGGGGGCTGGTACAGTCTCAACATTTAAAAGGCATCTGGATGGGGACATGGATAGGAAGGGGTTAGAGGGATATGGGGCCAAATGGGACTGGATTAGTTTAGGATATCTGGGTCGGCATGGACCAAAGGGTCTGTTTCCGTGCTGTACAGATCCATGACTCTGCAGAAAGAGAGAGAGAGATGGAGAGCGATAGCGTGCGCGTTAGAGCAAGTGTTGGAGAGATCGACAGCGATGCAGAGAACGTGAGAGAGGGGAGGCAGCGAGATGGAGACGGCTACTGGTGCATAACTCTAGATCCTTCTCTAATGGTTCCTCCCCTCAACACGCTCCCCCTTTCCAATTTACACCTCCTGCCCCTTGCGCACACCCACTCCCAGGAGGGAGGCAACGCCTAGTGGTATTATTGCTGGAGTGTTAACCCAGAGACCCAGGTAATGTGCTGGGGACCCGGGTTCGAATCCCGCCAGGGCAGATGGTAGAATTTGAATTCAATAAAAAATATCTGGAATTCAGGGTCTAACGATGACCGTGAAGCCATTGTCGGAAAAATCGATCTGGTTCACTAATGTCCTTTAGGGAAGGAAACTGCCATCCTTACCTGGTCTTGGCCTACATGTGACTCCAGACCCACAGCAACAGGCAATTAGGGATGGGCAATAATTGCTGCCTGGTCGTCGAGGTCCTCATCCCGTTAATGAATAAAGGAAAAGAAAAGGGATTGGGGTGGGGATGGGTAATGCACCCTCACCATTTCATTAAGAACATCAGCTCTCCGCACGAGTCTGTGGCTCCAATGATCTTCTCTGGCTCCAGGCCCCGTTCGAAACCCCTGAGGTTATCGTCATCCTGTTCAGGGGGTGGGGAGAGAAATGTGATTAGAGTCAGATGAGGTACGGGGCATGTAGGGGGCAGGAAGAGGTGACAGAGATAGGGAGGGGGTGTGTAGGGGAATGGAGGAGGTGGTGACGGAGATAGGGAGGGGGTGTAGGGGGCGGGGGGGGGGGACGGGGGGAGGGGGGGGGTGGGGGGGGGGGGGGGGGGGGGGAGGGAGAGGGGAGGGGGGTGTAGGGGGCTGAAGGAGACAGAGCCACTCCCCACACC